AGCAGCCTGCACCTGAACTTCTCTTGATGAGAATCTACAAGACATTTGGTTAGATGTTTGTCCATCTGCCCATCTGTGAAAAATCTCCGTGATTGATTGAGAGATTGGTTCTAAACTGAACATAATGCATTTGGAGACAGATGTCCAACATATCACAGTCACCCAGAGGGAACCTTCTCGCCCATATGATTCCTCTTCTAATCCCTGATGTACAAACTGACATTTGAGGGGAAGAGAGAAATGTGTCCAGATAAAACTCTCAGGCTGGAGAGTATGGAGCACAACAGTTTTGACAGAAAAAGAAAAACTACAGCAGACCAGCAGACCAGTAATTCTCCTGGGGAAACATCAAGAGGGTTGGGGGTCCACGTGTTGTATCAGCACGCTATAGGGCACAGCATTCGCAGAATGGACCTGCCGAATAGAGCGATGTCCTCAGGGCTCACACCATGGGGACACCCTGCCTCCCATCATCCCACAACCCATCCCACGCTTGCCCGGCCTTCCTCCTCACCTTGAACCAGCATCTCTCTCCTACTAATTTTGTAGCTGCTATTAGGCTGTAGTTCCTGCTCTAGGTGTGGGAAACTAGCCCTAGATTTTGACCATAAATTACGTAAGCACCTGGGCAAACTGCCTTCTAGATCATTAAAAAAAAAAAAAAAAAGCAGATGTCAGAGGCTATCTCTAGGATTATTGGACATTTTGGGGGTGCTTTCTTTACCTATACTTGTACTTCCCATATTTTCATAAAAAGTACGCATTACTTTAATGTTTGGGGAAAAGGAAAAGGATTTAAGATACAACTTTTTTTGCATCTGGGGTTGTGGAAACGCTGTTGATATTGAGAATGAATGAATGAATGAATGAATGAATAATGGACGACTGGAATGAATAATGAAGACCAGAGCCAAGGCAATAGCTCACTTTCACACAGAGGGTAAAGAAAGGTGAACATGATATTGATTTCTGGCAAAACTTTAGGATGAAAGATTAAACACAGAATTTGTGAGAATATATAAAACAAAGAGGCCACCTTTCACATTACCCCTTAGTGTTGTTAAATCTGCTAGAGTGGAGGAATGCTACCTATTTGACATATCTCAAACCAACATGGGACACGACAAACTTTGTCAGGATGGCTTTCAGGCAAAACGGAGAGAGGTGAGGAGAATTTAAAGGTAGGCTGCCTAGAAGCTGCTGGAAAGTCTGGACCCTATGGGATCCCTGATGGTGTCAACCTGGGAGTTCCCTGCTGGGAGTTGTTGTCCAGTTGTTGATTTGGATGGAGGCAGCGGGTAAGATGGTACAAACCTAAAAAGATGAGCTAAAAGCTCTCTGCCTGTGGAGTTTCTGAGATACAGAAAAGTTGAGTAGAACCTCAGATCAAACTTAACAGGAAAGTCTAGAATTTAGGGGAAAAAAAATCAGCTGTCCAAAATTCAGAATGGGAGGTAGAGCAGTGGATTAAATAGAATTCAGGCTTTGGAGTCAGGTGGTCTGCTAGGTTCAAATCCCAGCACTTTGGGCAAATTCCTTGCCCTCAGTCTGCCTCAGTGTGGATGAGAGAAGTAAGGATCGTACCGGGGGCACAGTGATAGGCATAGTGCCTGGCGCATGGGCACAGGACATGCTCAGGAGCAGGTATAGCCGCCCTTACAAAACGTGGTCTGACAGGAGCCCCTGTATGCAGAGCACTAAGGAATTTCACTGCCCACAGAGTAGCAGGAACTGACAAAGCGACGAGGCTGTAAAACAAGTGAGTTTGAACTTAAGCTGTAGGTTCAGGAAAGAAACTGTATTATTATATCCCATACTGATAAGACGCCAGCTGGAATACTGTTCCAGCTCAGAATGCCATGTTTTAAAAGTGACATCAAGAGGCTTGAGGGTATCCGGTTGTGTGACATGATAGTGAGAAATAGCAGAAGATACTAGAATTATTTGGTAAGAAAAAATGAGTCTACCACGGGTCAAGATAGCGCTCTTCGGATACCTGGAGGGTTATTACAGAGAAGCTAGAGTCACGTTATTCTGTTGTTCGAGAGGACAAATCTCTCAAAGTCTTCAGCAGAGTTTGCTTAACAAACGGGAGAACTTTTCAACAGAGTGACAGAGGAACAGATTGCTTGATGAAGCAGCAAGTTCTCGGTCACTGCAAGCGTTCAAAGAGAAGCTGGTGCGGGGGGGTGGGGGGTGGGGGGAACATCCCCTAGGGAAGCTGGAGAGGTTTGCACCACAACTGCTCCTCTTCTTCCCCTTCCCTACTCTAGCAGTATCAGCCTCTACTGCCCCCTTCGCCAGGCTCCCCTTTTCCCATGAACTACTATCAGGTGAAACAGAGTCTCCTGATTCCTAACCTTTGCAGGAGGGCAGAGCCGCACATTCAGCCAGCAAGCATTGGCCGGTAGCAGTCCGTCAGGCCCTGCACTGCCTGACAGAGGCAGCAAAGATGGATCCGGCGCGCACCCAGGGAGCACCCCGGCTCGTAAGAAAACACAGCCGCAACAGATCCCTGCGGAATGGTGAGGCCAAGCGCAACGACAGATCAGCACCGCGCGGGCCCTGGAGGTGCAAGGAAGTTCAACTGACACAGCCTAACTGGGGCACGGAGGGTGGGGGAGTGTTTCCCCGGGGAGCGGATTCTGGAAACAACGGTATAGGGATCGGTGAAGGAAAGCATTAGAGGCAGCAGGGACAATATGAGCAAAGGAATGAGGTAAGAAACAGCCCTGTGGCCAATCTCATGTGTTGCCGGACGGTGAAGTGTCGAGCATGGGAGAAGAGGAAATTGGGCTGGAGAGGCTGGGAGGGGTGAGAATCCAGAGTCCCGCCTGGGTTTCTAAGGGCTCGCATGCCACATACACACACTCATCCTCTGAAGGACTCTGGCTCAAGCTGCAGAGTCTCAACTGGCCCCTGGTCTCTAGGAATTGTTTGTGCAATTGTTTGTTTCATTACCCTATGTCTGCTTTGCTCCACAAGGGCAGAAACTCTGGCGACCTCGTTCACTGCTGTATCCCCAGCGTCTAACCCAGTTCTTAGCACGTAGAAGGTGCCCGATAAATACTGTAGGTTTCTACTGAAAGAAGGAATGCCGGCAGAGAGGATGCAAGCTCACAGGCTTGTTGGGAGGTCTCTCTAAGTGAAGACATGTATGTTGCCGAGAGCAGCACCTGGCCCTAGTAAGCAAGAGTAAGGGAGAAGCTGCGGCTATTATTAGTCATTTGCATTTCTTGTTCTCCTGTTTTGTTAGTTTTGCAAGCCCACTGTTTAGTAACTTTGTATTTGTTGCTGGTCTGCTTAATAAATTTTGATGAGTAATGGTTGTTTGCCAATCAATAACAGCCCAACAAGAAATCCTCAAAGTACAGAGAGTTACAAAAACATTCAGCATCATAAACCACACAATGACATGCGAAGGAGAGAGTTGACAGACTGGTTTCCTCACTGGGCCTCCCCAGGCTCATCCCTATAGGTCTTCTGGAGAGTGTACCCATGTCAGAGAAGGCATCATCATGAGACTGATGGCCAACACTGGAGCCCCCAGCATGAACCCTGGATAAGAGGCAGGTAGAAAACTGGTGGGAATGAACAGTGCTCTGTAGACCCCACTGACCCAAATGACCTTCTGAGGCGAGTCTGATCTGATGGAGTGAGACTGGGCGCTTTCCCATAGCCTCCCCAAGGAGGGCAAGAATGGGGAGGAAATGCATATTTGGTGGTCCCAAGCGCAAAAGTCAGGCTTCCTCACACCGCTTTCTCTAGCTTCTTTCAGCTTGCCATCTTCCTGGACAATGGATGGCCTGGGACTGACTAATCTTGGTTGTAGAGAAAGGGACCATTGTCATTCAGTGTATACAACTGGTTCTGAAGATTCAGTAATTCAAGATTAAATAATTAATTCAAGATGAAGTTCCTGGACTTATCCAGGAACAACAACTTAAGTTTTTAGGCTCTGTTAAAAAGGTCAATGCATCCCTTGTGGACAAGAACTCCCGCCAGGAGGTTTCTCCTACCACAGGCCTCCTATGAGGTCTGAAAAATTGAACATTCTTTTCCTTTTTCAAGTCCCCAAAGGATACATTCCTTTAAAAAAAAAAAAAAATCCTGGCATCTCTCTCCTCCCCTTAATGACTAAAAGCCCCAGGCGAAGTTGGAGAAGAGTTTGTGGATTCTGTGAGAGCGTGGAAGGGGCTGCCCTGGGCCAGCTGCTGTGGAGCCATCTGTTGAACCAAGTCCAAGTACAGGGCTAAGACAGGCACGGTGTTCCAACATACCTGGTCTAGGTCTCTACCTGGGCTTATGGTCGGACCTTGAATCGGGAGAGAAAATGAAGCTGAGGTGTTCAAAGCTCAGGGGAAGGTGAAATCACTTCAGTTGCCCAAACAAACAAAATTGCTTAATTAATCTAACTGAAAAAACCCTCTTCAACATTGGATTAAAGAAGTCATGTTGATGCTGCCCCTGTTTATTTGGCTGAGTGCTGGACTCAGAAGGTATATTTAGCCTCAGTGTGCTGGCAGGATTGCATCTTGCAGCTCAACAGGAAATATCTGGAGTCACAGCTAAAGATATCTCTGCATGTTCAGAAATTTACGAGCAGCTGTAAAAGTGGAGCTACGGTGGTCAGAGGGCTGGAACAGGCTTCCTTTCAAATGAGAGAGGCTGACGAATTAAACACTCAAATATACCAAGTTCATGGCAGGCAGAGTGCACCTGACAGGCTAAAAATAGCCAAAGCAGTGGCTTCTGTTGCTAAAATAACACTGAACTGATACACTCCTGTTCTAAACCTACAAAGAAATGGGTGAGTGGGGAGAGGGTAGGCTCGGAGAGTCCACAAAAGTGTGTCAGAAACCATGCCAAGAGGAGGGAAGCCATCTCCTACCTTGGCCACGTTTCAGAAATAGCTTTCCAAAGCTGAGTAGGCCGAAGTAGCAAGTAATCAATATATTATTTTTTAATAGCACCAAAAAGACACTGCATACAGGGATCTGTCGTTGTGATGACGAACAAACTTTCCATCTTGGTTGAGGAACATTTTTTTTTTTTAAAACATCGTTTTGCTAGACTCTCTTATCCGCTCCCCCATGCCCTGCTCAGTGATGCCTGATGGGAACGGCTCCTACTTACTCGCGTCACACACTTGGCAAAGCTGCTTGCTTGAGAACAGACAAGGGTGAGTGTTTGTGATTGTACGTTGCGGGACAGAGTAGGCTACCACACTTTCCGGAATGGCCAGAGCATCCAAGAACAACTTCACTTCCATCCTGTGACCTGGGACACTCTCTCATCTTTCCAAGTCTCCATTTCCCTTTCATGTAATGTGGAGCTCATCAAGATCACCCTGATGACCTCCTTGAGTCGTGTTGTGGGGAGAACATGAGCTAATGCATGCGGAAACATTTTGGGAGTCTGCAAAGCTTGAAGGCGGATGGAAGATGTCGTTGCTCTTGCTATCGAGCATTCTACTGGAAAGCTGGGCAAAGAAGAGCAATGTCTCCACGTGACCGTAAAGTGCGGTGTGCACAGACCGCTAGGCTGCGTCCTCTCGTGTGGGACGGTGCTGTCTCAAGCAGGTAAAAGCCATGTCCGGGTCCTAGTTCAGAGCCGTAGGGGCTGCGGGAAATCTGCTTGCTTTCGATCTCAGTGTGGCTCACTGCTGTCATCCCCCCGCTCATCCTCCTACTTCAGTGCTGCTTCTCTTCTGGGTGGCCCACAAAGCACGGGGGGGGGGGGTGGCCTAGAGCCCCCGAGAAGCTGGGAGGGAGGCAGGGGTAGGCCCAGCCTCGAAGTGAATGGTTGCTAGGTTACCAGCGGTGCCTGCCCTGGGACTGGTCCCCCTGGATGGTCAGTTCTGGTTGGGAGGTCGAGAGACGCCCACCTTCTCTCTCACCCACTACGGGCTGCTGTGCGGCCATCATTTAACTGGTCGTTATCTATTTTTGTTCGTTCTTCTCTTTTCCCTCTCATTTGTTTCACTTGTTACATCCAAAGCTGATGGACAGAATTGTGTGTTCACCATGCTCGTAACTGTGAGGCATATGGACAAGAATATGCATGCATATTTGTCTAAATCTGGAAGGGAATATTAAAAAAATGAAATTACTTGTTGTGTTAGGACGAAGGGATTATGGACGTTTCCCTTGCCTCTTTTTCACACTGTCTATAATGCTGTTAAATAGTTTTTAAAATAAGAAAGGAAAGGAAGTGTAATTGGAGTTTTAACATTTTATAAAATGGCATCCAGTTATCCTGATTTTGACTTCACTGGGCTTGAAAGTGCAAAGTTAAAGAAATGCCACATAGGCTAACGTACTTCAATGTAATAATTATATTTTCAGCCTCTAAATTATTTTAAGGGTGGCCTCTTGCATTTCAAGGTGCTTTTTGGAGTATGCAGTAAATGGCAAAGGCCGTGAGATAAAAGTTGGAAATCATATCGTAGCTTTTTTATTTGGAAAGCCCATAGTTTCATAGCCCAATATTTTCAATCAACAAAGAGTTAAATATTTATGGAGTGCTTTCTATGTGCTGAACATTGGGCAAGGATTTGTGTGTTTCCCTTTAGTTCATCTTTTTTCCTATTTCTGTTCCCCAGAAGTGATTATCACTGGTTGTTTTGTAAGGCACTCAGCAATCAACTTGTTTGTGTACAGTCTTTTTGTTTTTTTAAAGTAGTAGGTGCTGGGGCACCTGGGTGGCTCAGTCGGTTGAGCGGCTGGCTCTTGATTTCTGTTCAGGTCATGCTCCCAGGGTCCATCGATTGAGCCCTGTGGCGGGCTCCACACTCAGTGGGGAGTCTGCTGGAGATTCTCTCTCTCTCTCCCCCTCCCTCCCCCCTCCCTCTGCTCACTCTCTCTCTCTCTCAAATAAATAAATAAATCTTAAAAAAAAAGAAAAGAAAAGAAGGAGTAGGTGCCAGGGTGCCTGGCTGGCTCAGTTGGAAGAGCGAGTGACTCGTCACCTTAGGGTCGTTGAGTTCAACCCCATGTTGGGTGTAGAGATTACTTAAATAAACAAAAACTTAAAAAAAAAAATTAGAGTAGTAGGTGCGAAGATAGTGGCAGTGAGGGGAAATTCTAATAACTTGTGGTTTCTCAAATAAACAACCAGAAGCCATTACAAAACCAGGTTTGGCATCTAAGGCAGCCACCAAACCCCGCTGTTTCTTCAGGGATACAACAACAGAATGGGCAACGGCTCAGAGTCTGGTTTTTTTCCAGGTACTCCCAGCTCACCACTTCCTCGAGCGCGATTTCAAAAGTCATTCACTCCATTTGACAAGGAGGTAAGTGAAGACAAGTTGAGGTGAAAGCGCCAGCTTCAGGGCAGGCGGCAGAAGGAGAGCAGAAGGGAGGAAAGGAGCGTGGCCCGCTAGGCCACGGCCCCCCAATGCACGGGTCTACCACCTGCCACGGCTGTGTGCACCTGGTGCACTCCATGAGACTTCACCCGTGAGCCTGGGCTGGTCACTTGCCCTCTGCATTTCAGTATATCCGTGTGGAAAACGGGGGGTTATGATACATGGTCCCTCCCATGTCACAAAAATGTCCTGTGTACACGTATCACTATTTTACGGCCCATTTCATTATCCTACCATTTGGTAACTTTCAGAAACTGAACTGCTATCCTTCCGTTTCCCAAGGAAACAAGCAACTCCACTCTGGGCCAGGCCCACCCTCCATCCGTTCAGCTCAGCACTGAATCTCTTGTGGAGGCACCAAGGGACACGTTGAGGGATGCGTTAGGAAAGATGGCTGTCTATGTTGACAGGTGGGTTAGGACCACACAGCAAACCAATGCATTTTCTCTAACGTCTCTCTCGTCACAGAGCTATCATCCATGAAATTCATTTAAGTCTAAAAGCTATTTATAGTTCTGGTCTTACCACATCTTAAATTGATAAAATTCCATAAGCTTATGAAATCAGCCATGTAAATCAGTAACGCTTTTTTTTTCTTTTCTTTTTGAATTTGCCTCTTTGAAATGTCAGGGCGGTTCTCCTGCTTTTGTCTTACTACCTCAAGATATGGTGAACGTGCCCATGTTTGTACTAATCACACATTTGGTGGCTTAAAAAATTTCAATTACATACAGCTTCTCTCAGTCTTTATGTATTCAGACAAAAGAATCCAACCTTTTAAGTTGATTCTCACATGGTGTTTTTTAAATCAAAGGTTCTTAACTTTGGTCTGAAGACCCCGAGTTAGCCACAGATGTGCATGAAATTGTGTGCAATGCTGTGTGGGCACGTGTATGCATTTCTCGAGGTAAAGGGTCAGAGAGAGTCTCAAAGGAGTCTGTGACTCCAAAATGTTCAGGAACCACCACCCTGGATCACTTGGCTCCTTCTCAAAGCTTCTTTAGTTCTGGCTTGTTATTTCCTGAGAATGGCATGTAATATTCTAGATGAGGATATGTCAAAATTCTGAGCAAGATTATTTTATTATATTTGTAATTCTTCACCAGACAGTGTCTGCTATTTTGGTGAATTTTTTGGCTGCACTAGCCACCAATGTATCCATGTCTTTAGAGAACAGTGTATAATGACTCTCACTGTCCACTTTCTGAATGGAATGTGATCCCAAGGAATATTATCATGCCTTTAGTGTAAGCTAACTTGGATTATTTTCCCTAGAAGCACTGCTTTACATTTCTCCATACTGAGTTTCATCTACTACTTGCCTACTTCTCAGCTGTCGTAGTATCAGATCTTTTGTAATTTATATTAGGTGAATTTGACTTTTCAGTGTGATAAAGTGTCCTCTGCAAATTTGCACACTGTCCTGTGTACCAAACAATTAATAAACAAGCAACCAAATCCATATGGCAGAAACAACTAACTGCCCCCAAAATATAGTGCTCGTCTTTCCACAGTGGAAAGTCATGACTGGGAAAGGGCTCCCTGCCAGAGACCATAGTTTCTAGAACCTCTTGTGTCTAGATAGGGCCAGATAACCAGTTCTTACCGGGAGGATATAAGCAGAAGTGAAAGGTGTCCTTTTGGCCAGAGTTGTTTAAGAAAGGGGATGACTTTTCCATCATTTCCCTCCTCCTACTTGCTAACGGGGTACCGAGAACTCTGGGAACTTTAAGATGGCAGAGGCCCATGAGGGACAACCCTGGGTTCCTGCATCGCCAAGTGAAGAAAAGCCACTGATGACCAAGAACACCCACATCAAACTATTAGGTTTCCAGAGAGAAATGAACATTTGTTGCTTTGACTGAAATGTAGCATTTTTTTATGACAGCAGATAGTATTCATATAGGCCACCATTTGAATTATTTCCATTCATAGAAAGTTCCATTTATCTCTATCCTTTATTCAAATATGCTTATATCATTTTCCCTGAAGCATTGGTGTCTGAAGCATTTTAATAGGTTCTGTATAAAGGACCATGTCAAAGATACTTTTGATAGTCTTATGCCACAGATTTAAGTTATTTGCCTCAATCCAGGTTTTAGTAAAAGATAACGTATTGGAAAAGTATATTTGATTCCTAGGAAACAAGTTGCTTTGTAATTTCCACATGTTAATATTTATTATTGCTCAGATTCATCTGGCCTTAACCATATTAACAGTGAGGGCTCTGCCAGTTAAGTACAAACACCTAGTTTAGTTGATATGTGTACGTACTTCCTTATGAATCAACAGCAGTGTAGACGAGGAAGACCAGATCCTTAAACTGCTCTACTAATGTTTATGCAATAAAGCAATATCCATGTGAACCCTGGCGCTGCTCTTGGTACCACAATGGTGAAGAGAAGGTGGCTTGGGTGGGCCAAGGTAGAAACCAGTTCTGCCGCAGTGTGCCATGTTCCTGGCAGATAGATGGGCTTTCGGTAGACAGAAGTCAAGGCCTGAGAGTGATCGTGGCTCTCTTGGACCAAGAGTTGGACATTCATTCTTCAACAACCGGCTTAACTGGGGTCAACAGCCTGTTTTCCCCCCTTTCCTCCCAGGCAGTCATATAGGACCAGACTGTTTCAATTCACTTGGTCTCAGGCAGTACTGACACAGAGTGTACATGATGCTACATGGTGGGGGCAGGAACCCTGGGCTGTGGCTGGGCCCAGTCCTGGCCGTGGCTGTGTTGGTAAGAGCACAGCGTTTAGAAAGAATAGCCCGGTCTCTTTCCTAAGCTCACCTCCTGGTGAATCCACTAAAGGAATTCTAAGTCTCGGCAGAAGCGGAGGCCCTGCGATCAGCAAAGGCTTGGAGTGCCCCCAGGATGGTAAAGAACCCTTGGGTTTCCAGGACCCAGGCAGGAGCGGGGAGCAGGCAGGCAAGGCACAGGCCCTTCTCCCATAGGAGGGCAGACGCTGCCCTCTCACTCTGAATCCTCATGTAGTAGCAGATGAGGAAAGGCAGAACACACTCCCCCGAGGACACATCTCAGGGACACTGAGCACAAATGTTGCTTTGATGAAGTGTACTCTCCCGTCCATTTTGTGCTGTAACCGCAGGAGAAGGCTATTGGCACAACTGTGATATTCTCTACCCTAAAGAGCCTTTCCAGGAAAACCATTTTGAGTGACGTTATCTTCCAGGAGACTGCAAGACTTAATATAATCACCAGGAAAATCTACATATACATATGATGCTTATCAACCAGCAATAAAATATGAGTGATTCCGAAGAACTTTCACATCAAGGCTCCTTTTCTCCCTTAGGAGGAGTCAGAGACATCCTGAGAAGCATTTTCCCTACCTCTGAATATGAATAAGGTAAATAATGGTATTGGAAAAAAAACCTTGGACACTTCTGGCTTAAATGGGCTTAGAGAGGAAGCTCTTTGGAGTCCAATAGTTAACTGTCCCACGGGTGGGACAAGGGAGGGAGAAGGAAAAAAGAAGTTCCCACTTCAGTACTTAACTTACACTTTTTCTTTCAAAAGGACTATGCTGTTTGTGGCCCTGGTAACAAGCTCCTCCCAGCCTCCCAAGGGAGCTGCTAGATAGGGAGGAGGGACAGAGATTGCCGGTGGTTGGGTTGAAGCAGGACAGAACAGGATCCTGGTGTCAGAGGGCGAGGCAGGCACTCAGTTGGAAAGTTGTTCTTTGTTCTTAAAAATAAAACATTCGACCCTCCTTTTTTGGATCCTTCCCTGGAATGAAGCCAGTCAACTGCTGGCTTCTTTTTAGGATTAGCTCAATAGCCCTCGGCCCAAAGGTGAACTCCAAAGACCCTCAAGATCTTCTGGCCCTGATAAAATGCTACACAACAAAGTGAATGACATAAGAGAATGTTTCTCTTGAAAGGACATGGCTGCAGTATACATTTGTAAAGCAAAATAGGCCCAGTGGAAAGGGTGAGAGGACAGGATGAGGGAGAGAAATCAGGTACGAAAGGCTGCCCAGAGGTTGGGAAAGGACTAATGAGTGGCTGTGGCAGTGTGCTTTAGAAAATTCTCTAGGAGGCCAGGGGGCAAGGGCTCCTCCTATAAAGACCCCCACCCCCATGAAGGATGACACCACACCAGAGAGTTTTCTACAGCACACTGAATCTTTCCCAACTTTTCTCCATTCATGAATTCTCCACCCAAAGTTACAGCTTTGGTTTATAAAATGACAGCAATGTATTATGCTGCATATCTTAACAAATAGAGGGGTCGCAGCCCCTCTGCTTTGAAGAGGCTCTATTTGGGGAATGTTTGGGGCAGCTGTTGTATAGACCAACCGCACGCTGTGAGGGGTCCAAGAATCAAAGCTGTTTCTCAGCGCTCTTCTGAGATTGAGCCTCATGCTGACGGTCCTGTATATAAAGAGCTCTCACAACATAAAGGGACCCTTTCTGCAGTATCTTTCCTAAATATCTCATCGTGCAGCCATTTTGAAACTAAATGCATAAATAAAATGTCAGGTAGTGAAGAAGACCTTTCCTTCCCTGGAAGAGGAAAAAGATGCCATGGGCATTTGCTGATGGGTGACATCAGCAAAAACTGGGAAGAAGATTCATTGAGGAAAATCATTAGTTCCTATATAAGTAGTTGGGACTATAGAATGTCAAATAATGGGCAAAATTCACTAGTTAATCTACATACTATGCCTTTAGCGTTGAGCTGTTGGAAGTAATTTTCTGGTTGAGGAAATAGAAGATGTAAGTTTTGCAGCCTAGGCCAGAGTTTCTTCATTAGGTGGTCCAGAGAGACCACTGGCACCAAAATCAGCTGTAGGTGCTTCGAAGATGTAGACTCCAGGGACTTCTCCCAGACTTGGCTCTTTGGGGTGGGCCTGAGAATCTTCATTTTGAACAAACTCGCTGGGTGACTCTTTTGCACACTGAAGCTTAGGAATCACTGCTATGTCTTTAACCTCCTCCTACTCTCTAAAGCAGAAAAAAAAAGGTATTATAGTCCTTTAGGTATAGTTCTTGCTCACCTAGTTCATGGACGTTTTTAAGAAGTTATCTTAACATTATTGGCCTCCTATTAACTTTTACGTGTATAATAGCAAGACCTAAAACGATGAGCCGTCCAAAATGGAATGGGTTGGTGAACTTTCCATTGTCAGAAGTGTTCAAGCGGAGGTTGGAAAACCCCTTAGCAGGGATCCTGTAGAAAGGATTCAAGTATCAGTACAGGGGCCCGGCCCTGAACTAATGTTTACATTTCCTCCAGCTCTATGACCCTATGATAATACAACAAAATCAGCTTTAATTTATCAAGCACAACATTTTTTTTTTAAAGATTTTATTTATTTATTTATTTGAGACAGAGAGAATGAGAGACAGAGAGCATGAGAGGGAGGAGGGTCAGAGGGAGAAGCAGACTCCCTGCCGAGCAGGGAGCCCGATGCGGGACTCGATCCAGGGACTCCAGGATCATGACCTGAGCCGAAGGCAGTCGCTTAACCAACTGAGCCGCCCAGGCGCCCTCAAGCACAACATTTTAAAAGTCTAAGCATACACTCAGAAATTTTATTGGTATTTTGTAAAAGAATCAAGAAAACCAGTCTATAAAACCGAAGTTAAGAAGGTGGGGCTAGAACCAACAAGAAACTTGAGGATTCTTAGATTTATTGCCAGCTCTGAAACTTACTGGCTAACCATGTCCTCCTGATGGCACACAGGTAAAAGAGTCTGTCATCTTGATAATGGTTTCCACATCCCAAGCACCCCCATATCTGATGGGATTAAATGACTGTTGCGTCTTCTCATTCTTTGACTTGGTGTCCATTCAGTCATAGACCTTGAATCCTTCCCAGTTCTTCAGGTGCCTCCACCCCAAAGAAGGATGTCATTAAAGGACCAAAGGAATCACAGTTCTCAAGGGGATAAATGCCTGCCTGTGCTGGTCGACGCAGCTCTTTTTCTACTGCCCTCGCATTTACTCTGTTGGTTAAGAATATATATGTGTATGGATCACTGCCATTACAGAAAAAAAATGCCAGGATAGATGGTGGTGAGGGGGGCTCGCAGTTAACATATTACTGAAAGGCTCAGTGCTAATGGGAACAGAGGATGGGCCAGTGCAAAATGAACTAGAAAGGAGATCCTGAAGCTCCCCCAATCAATAAAAACAACAATCCAGGTAAAGCAAGAAGCGAACTTGTGGAGCCTGAATTATCTGGGAAAACCACTTGCATATCATACTGATAAAATGCATGCCAAATCGCCCACACTCCAAGTCATGTTGTGTGGATGGTATGCAAGCACCTCGACGGCTCCGGACCTCAGGTTTGACATAGGGACTCTGAGAAGATGACCAAGAAAAGAAATGTTCAATGTGATGAAAAATCACAAATAACAGGACTCCAACGAAGTCACATTTACGAATTATTTCTAAGTGTGCACTTCTGAGAAAAGCTCTCCGGTTCTGGAATCTAAGACAAACGGTTAAGATTTGAAGAAAGCCAGCCCTGGCCGGCCTAGAACTGTGGTTGGCACATCACAGGAACTCGATCCGTAGTCGTCAAAAGGAGGAAGGAATGAGTGAATCAACAGTGAATGAAGGAAGGAATGGAGAGACAATAATAGACTCCAGAAGGAATTAGGGCTCGATTCTGTAGCCTACTCCTACGAGTGACAGCACTCTAGGGGACCCTAGTATTTTAGATTGAGACATCTTTATGTATATAGTCTTGTGATGCATGAAAAGGATTTAAAGTCTGTGTTGTTCCATTAATGATCAAGACAGGAGGACTCCTGAGAAGGGAACAAAAAGTAAGGACAGGGGAGGACAGCAGGAGGAGAATCATGTTTAAGAACTAATTGAAGATTTAGGAGAGTGATTTTTGAATCTTAGGCATGAATTATCTAACCATGATAGCTAAATTCAGTGCAAATGGCGGTCACAGGATGGCCCGAACTGTTACATGATATTTTTATTGAATCTTCACACTGCAAAACTGGTGGAAATTAAGCTGTTTGTAACTTACTTTGGAGGAAAGAGAAACAAATGTGCATGTCATCATTAATCAGGTCGATGACCTGTCTTTTCGTGCAATTTGATAGCACCAGCCGGGATACGAGCCAGACTCTCTTTGGGGTAAGACTTGCTTTTAGCATACCAGCCACCCGCCAAATCCATAATAGTGAATGACACGGGTCTGAGAATCCGAGGAAAAGCCACCATGACTAGAATGAAAGGATGATGCAGGGGTAGTTGGGCTTCTCAGGGCTGCATGGGATAGGATTCTCTGGGTTTTATACTGCTCCTTCCTCAGCCCTCAGAACTCTTAATCCTATTTTCATTGCCCCAGGTAAACTGGGAAATATTTTCTCCTCCTAGACTGCAGTTACTCACACAATAAACAGGTAATAAACATTTTACTGCCCTAAGCAGCCTCCTGCTAGGCAGGCAGTCAGAAGAGAAAAGACCGTGCAGAGAGTAACCCCCTACAGGATAAACTGCAGGGGACAAAGGATGTGAGTAAGCGTTTAATAGTGCGCCCCCTCTCCGGGCTCCAGGAGACAACTGGCAGCTGCTGGGGCCCATCAGCTGGCCTGTGGTCTAGGACTCCTCTCTGCTTGAGGCTAGTGGGGAAGATTTGATTTCACCAAAAGGTAATTTAGTTGCCATTTCAAAGCTCTGTCTAGCTAAATTAAGGATGAGGAATGAAACTGGAGTTTACAATCTCCCAGGTTAAACCACGGGTTGTGAGACTGGAAGGCACAAGAAGGGACAGTTGGCAGCCGACTGAAGTGGTTCTGGGGAGAGAATCATTCGGTTCGATTTCTGTTTGATTTCAGGTTTGCATTTGATTTTCTTAACACATCCTGGTTTCTTTGTTATTGTTTATATCGGCCCCATACATCAAATCAAATAGTTGTTACCATCCGTTGGCTGTGTGGAAGGCACGGTGGCCATCCTTTGACATCCCATTTTTCCACTGTACAGGGTTCCCTCAAAAGCCAATTACCTTAAGGCATCTCCCGGTTCCCACTGCTGGGGAAATCTTTGTTTCCTTTCATGCCAAAGGTTCAACTTGCAGCTGTCTGAAGTCTCTGCTCCTTCCCCCATCACAGGGAAATGAGGACAGAGCCAAATATAATATGATAAGCTCTGCTTCTATCTCTGCCATTTAACTTACGGGAAATAATAATCTCACTTACATAAATATTTTCTGCCAAATAGCATGCCAAATCTGAACGTATTAACCCAAGGTGAATGATAAATGCCTCCGCATAAACAATTTTCCAATTCACATAGGTCGAAGAAGTGATTATTTTGTAAACCAACAGTTCTTTGGTATCAATTGCAGTTAATTTATGGCATTTTGCTCTAATGGGATA